AAGCCACTGTCAGGACATTACTAACTCTGAAAACCAAGAAGATCCAACAAAAACTAGTATGAGGAAAAACTTAATAAATTTTTGGTACTCTTTTGCATGACAATATTTTGCACGTACATTTTTCCATAATACAGTAATTCATTTTTGCACATTGAACAGTTTAATAATTCATTCCACTTTACTGCAACAGTTTTATTGTTCTTTTTAGATCAGTGGGAAATGATGCAAGCATACTAGGTATATATATATATATAAATATATATTATATATATAATATAATATAATATATACTATATATATATATATAATATAATATATATATATATAATATAGAAGAGAGAGCAGAGCAGACGAGAAAATGGCATGCTTGCCCGACCAAGCACAAATTTTGTGCTTGGCTAAAGGTGTCATATTCCTATCCCACTCATTCAACTTCCCAACCACTTCCCAACCCATGTGAATGTGGGCCCATTTTAATAGGGAGTGAATATGTCACCTCACTACAAGCCACAAAAACTATGCTTTGCTACTAAGCATACCCATTTTTCTCAATAAACATATATATATATATATATAGATATATCATATATAGATATATATATATATATATATATATATATTAAGCCACATGCTACAAGGTTAGAGAATTTGGTCTCAGTTTCAGTCAATATTCCTTGTAATGAAGGTCATGAAAGGTTCCGCTAGTTTGCAAGGTTGCATCTCAAGTTTCAGTTTGCTGTATATAAAGATGTGGGCAATGTGGCAATTACCAATAGACATGTTGCCATCTCTACCATGTGTAGTACTCCAAGTCTCCAAGCAAATAAAATATAAACAGACTGGCTAAGTGGTTCCTAGAAACGTTCATATGAAAGCTATTAATTCAAGTTAATATTAAAATTCCAATCAAACAAAGTCAAACAAAACATAGCAATAATGGCATACACTTCTCCAGACCAGTCCCTTTCCTTCTGCTGATGTGCATTCAGTTCTCTTACAAAAGGAAAGTCACAGCAGGCTAGGATTTATAGATTTGGATAGCTATAGAGGTTGAAAGGAGATGTATCATGTAACTAATAACAGCTAAGAACATTATATTTCCACACATATTTTCTGTTGTTGAATTTCTTGTTAGTTTCAGCATATTTTTTAGGAACTGATACAAACGCATACCTGACAAACTTAAGTTAACCAAAATCAGATATTCTGTCCTGGACTGGTCATCACCAAAATGGAACAAAAGGCCAAAATTGAGATGAAAAGGCCAAACTCCTTATTTGTACTGCATATCTAAAGCTTAAATTAATACATTTGATTTATGCTATCTTTCACAGAGAAAATAGAACACGTCTAATACAGATATGAGCCTGAGTACGCGGTTAAGTGAACTCCTAAAAGCCACCTACTAAAGAATACAAACTGTTCAATCAGCCAAATAGGAAAAAATAGATTCCAAGTTCCATTTAACTAAAACCTAGCAAATCTATATTTGATCTATGATGGTTGTCCATTGTCAAATCTGAGATTGTCTGAGAGTCGATGACTATTATTAGAAGCTTAGTTGCATTAGATGCAGGTGCTAAGCATCCAAATATTTTATGCTAGATCCTTACAGAATCTGACATGGGAAGTAAGTAATATCTAAGTTGAATGCAATTTGTATCAGCAATTCATAGCCTGATTGATTGATTTAGATCTTCAATTGACATGATGAAGATGACAATTTGCATATGGAGGCACCAATACTGAAATGAGAATACTCCAATTGGCTTTTGATTTGACATTACAAGTAAATCATATTTAAGGCTCTTAAATGGTCAAAAGTATCATTTAAGCGACACCTAGGTGCACAATATAAAATATGCCATAGGTCGATAAGACTGAACTTTGATGTAACTTAAACTTATTGATAGTTACAGTAGATCTCAACATTTTAAGGCGTCTAATGCTTTAACTTGTTAGCTCTTAAGTCGTGCACTCATCCTTCATAAGTTTCATACATTGAGCTTGTCTAACTTCAATTTGTGCTTGATTTTAACTCTGACTCTTTTGTATGTACATTTAACTCCATCAACAGAACTAGAATTTGGATCTACACCAATTTTCCTAAGGAACTCGTTAAGCATTCAAGCTATACATGTGCTGCCACACGACAACTCTACAATCAAGTAGCAATCGATGATGTTCCGTACGAAACTATTGCGATATCATGGACAGAATTCTACATCTATGGTCTTACAATCATGCTTTCCCTCTCTTTCTCCACAAGAATCTGATACACCTATACCTCTCTTCGTGTGCCAATAGACCCTCGCCGGATACTGCTTGAAAGTTATATGATCTTCAGTTTCCCTTCATACTCGCCTCAGATCCCATTAAAGATTCCCCCTACTGAAATTCCCTGTATAGTGCCCTTTTGTTTCCTTTTTATTCAAGTTCATGTCTAACATGAACTTATACAACCATTACTGATCATACTATCTAACCCACTAGCTCATTATTTCCCTGCACACACTCATCATGTTTTCAAAGATAAATTTCTTTTTGTATCCACTCTGGAATCTGGTGCACTGGAACTTCTTTTCCAGTTATCCATTACTTAAGAACCTAAGTGTGCGGTGATGCAACATCACACTGTCAATAGTCTAAGAACTTTATCCTCTGATATGATCAATTAGGTCCACCTATCATTTCTAGAAGTGAGATTCTGGTGACAAGGACTTAGTTGTGACGATACATGTCCAAAAATATGCAAGCACATTTCAAGTTAATAATAGAATAATATGTGATAATAGGAAGCGCATGGAACTTGATGTCTTACCAAATATATTGTGCGGTCTTCAAATTTAAACTGGGCTCTAACCGAGTCCCTTGTCAAGCCAGCTTCGGGTCCAACAAGAACTCTTTCTTCTTGTAACAATGTATTAAGTAGTGTAGACTTCCCCACATTGGGACGCCCTACAATTGCCAGCTGCAAAGGCAACTTTGTCTCGTCAATCTCCTCAGTCTCTGAGACGATATCATCTTGTTGTTGCTCTTCTGGAATGAACCCCAAAAAAAAAATCATAATCCAATATAAGGTTAAAAAAAGGCCAGAATAGTACATGAAACTGGAATACCCTATGATGGTGGATCACTTGGGAAATACTTAAGCAACATTCATATCCAATAACAATTAAAATCATGGAACTCATTATCATCATGTTCTTCTTTCCCATACATGAGTAGATAGAAATTTAGCAGAAAACTTCATTGACAAGACTCCAAGAATAAATGGAACGAACTTAACGCACAGCAGTAAACCAATGATCTCAACTCTACTAAGCTGATTCCTTAATGGATAATAGTGGAGGACAGGATGGGGTACGATTGTGGTAAACAATGAACCTTGAGGACAAATTGACAAGTACAGAAACCATGCTTGTTAGTTAGACAATTTAGTCCACTTACTTGCATAGAACCTTTTTCAGGCATCAGATGAAAAGAAAGTACAATATTATCCTATTCAAACTTCAATATGAAAAGAAAGTGAAAACTTATCAAATGGATATTAAGAAATGTAAGAAAAAAATTTGAATAAGTTTATATTCAGATAGGAACAGATGCCAAACTATCTCAACACAGGTATGAATAAATAACAAGCTCGGAAATACTGAACTGTGGACGTATAGAAAAGTTTTATGAATTACCACCTTGAGCAACAAAACTACTTCTTTATCATCTCCGTCATTATCAACAAGACTGGTCATGCATCTAGGACGCATTTCAACATTCACAGACCGAGATATAAAATGTTGTCCAACTTTTAAGAAAGCGTTCAGAGCTTTTAATGGCCAGACCTGGCATCCGTTGCTAAGGGACCTAGACATTTTTTGGCATTTACCTTTATAAATTGTGCCAGTGGCTGATACTGCAGCAATCTGAAGTGAAGGAGAAGAATAATAATAGAGATTAGAGAAAAGAAGAAGGATCAGTAGTGGGACTGTCTGGCACAAAAGAGAGGAACAAAGGTGGCAAAAGATGCTTCTGCATTTGGAGAGGCAGGACAAAAAGAGAGCAGGAGAAAGAATAAAGGAAAGAGGAGATAAGAAAAAGAGGAAGAGAATGGAGATAAATTTGTTAATCATTGTATTTTGTAAGCAAAATAATGATAATAATAAATGAAAGACTAATTATCTTCTTGCAAGTCTCAGCAGTGGTTGGAGGTAGCTCTGGCGGTGGATGGGACATTGAGAACAAGGGCTTTTGCAGTGAAGAGGAAGGTTGAGCAGCAACCAAGATATCTCAAGGATTTGAAACCGTAGACTCCATTATATATAAATTGGATATAGATATCAGGTTTGACCCAATACGTTTGACTCGCACATCTTACTCAACTATTACCATACTTAAGCGTGTTGCATACTCATTTTGTGTGGTACAGTCCACCTAAGTGCTTAACTGTTGCTTAGGAAAACTTAACTGGGGTGCTCAAGCCAAAATTGAGTAGTCCAGGCACTACCTGCACCTAGGTGGCCACCTAGCCCCACCTGAGCTGCTTGTTAATTAATAAAACATTGATATTGTGTAGTTCCGACAGGTAGTAATCAAAATATCCAACTCACCAAAAAAAAGTTGCTCCATTAGTCTGAATTGTAAGATGTAGTAAATGGAGGAAGTCAAGCCGTAGTACAACAAGAACCGAAGCAAAGCAAGGTATTTTCTTTGTAGAAAATTAATAAAACAAGGAAGTACAACAGAATGATGATAGCACTGAAAACAGCAAATACCTTTTGGTAGTTGGCGCACATATTCTTCTAACAGTGGTTGGAGCGTCTCATAAAGCTCTACCATACCCATTCCTGTCTCTGCAGATATGGCAATTGGATCTCCAAAACCTAAGCTATATGCTTCCCCTGCCTCTGCATAAAGAAGTCCTCGCTCAGCAAGTGATTCAGATTTATTCATAGCCACAATAGTATGAAGTCCAGATGCATGTTTCCTCATCCACTTCCCAACAT